CTTGTCAGGCCAATTTTGTCATTACTTGTGGAAAAATAATTTAGATAAATACAGATTTCCTAATTGCAGCTAAGCGCATCTTTGTGCAATGAGTTTTTTCTTCGCAAGGGGTATCTGTTTTGACTTCATTTATGAGGTAGTTTGCAGCAACGAGTATCGTGATGTGGATATGAAATAAGGATAAATCGTTGAGAATTTTACTGAGCCTTTACGCCTGTATCTAGAATACATGTCAAAGTGTACCGGACTTAATGCAATAGAAAAACTCTAATAATACCGATAAGAAGTGAAATAGAGTACCAGTTTTTATAAAGAAGCCTTACCAAAAATGGTAAGTATGTCGCCAAGACACAGGCCAACACAAAACCATCTTGCAAGTCAGCGTCGAAGTTTACGACAAGCTTGAGCGAGGATGTTTCAAAAAAGTTACTGTGCTCCTTTTTCTGGCACAATAAAAGCAGATCACCTCCAGCCCTGCGAACACATTCTGACAGCCAGCATAATAGAGCCCTCTCGTCCGCATTGTAGCAATTAGCAAAGATCGATCCTGCTTGTCTTATCCCAAATGATATCGGGCCCCGGAAACCTCCGGAACCTCTAACACCTGATTTATCGGTTTGCATGCAGAACGATCGTGAAGTGGATTCCGATGGCTTTGATGGATAGCCAATTTGTTCTGTGGGAACTGGTGGCTTGGGTTGATTAAGCGGACGTGAACCCAAAGAGGTAAGTGTGACTCGACGCAGAACCAAGCACTAGATTGAGGGAAGCAGTAAAATATAATATAAAGAATAAAAAATAGACAGGGCATGCTACTAGTTTAATATTGTCATTGTCATAGTTAAGATTGTGAAAAGTCGTTGAAATAGGTTAAAAAAATTATTAGTATGCAAATCAATAAGTATTTGTGAACTTGATTATTACTTGTGGAATAATGTAGAAGAGCTCATTAATTTTTTAAAACCCTTTCCCTTAAGCTTTAAAAAGTGAGGAATCAACCAATTAAATCATCAGAAATATACATTATTTTTTAAAATATGTAAAATAGAGAAAATATTTTGCATTGTATTGTTAAACTAAAAAATCTCACTATGAAAGTGATATACATTAGTCTGGACAAAAGTGTGGTCATGGACAAAACTATTAACATACAATAGGAGACACTGAAAGAATGGCTATAAGATTATCTAGTAGATGGAATAAAAAAATAAGTGTATTATAAATTTTCCTTATGAAGCATAAAATAGGTGAAAAGAGATTAAAGCTAGGTATAAGGAACTACGACCAACGACTAAAACTTTGGCCTTCTCCACTAATCAAATAAGCATATGTGCTAGCTAATTGTGAATTTATGCGAAGCTTGTTCTGCATAAAGCATAATTCCAAAAGACTAAATAAATTTTGGAAATTGTAAGTCGAATTGCAATATAAATGGAAGAACATTTATAAGATCTAACCTTTATTAATTGCAGCATCACTTCGGTCCAGGCCCTAAGCGACACAATTTCGAATTCAGCCTCACTTAAAGCGGCCATCGGCGCCAAACTCAGACTCACCAACTGATTTTTTGACTTATCTTCCTTTGAACAATCAGCGTAGTCTTGCTCACTTATATTTGAGCTTACGCCCTGCAGCCCTTTAGTTAAGGTGCAGACAGACTCATTCATAGCATCTTTTTCTGTCCCAAAAAATTTCGCCGCCTCTTTTCCAGGGACACTGGATGTAGACCTGGAGATTTCGACCGATTCTTGAGTTCTGGCAGACACAAGGAGGGTTTCAGGGATTAAGAGATGCCGAGAGGAGACTGTGGGTCCAGGACGACCAAGACGTAACCAATGCGCATAGTCACGGCTATCCATAAGGTGCTCTGGTGCAATGAGAGGCAAATGACCACCCTGACTGCAGAAATAGAAAAGCGAGAAGATTTTAAACCTCTAGCTAAATATGAACTTTAGGGTAAGTAGCGTAGTCATATTCTTTATTTTGGTCCCCCAAATGAAGTAGGGAAATAAAATTTCTGTACAATTTGTTTGTATAAGCCACACTTCTGCAACAGGCTATCTAATTGTTGGAGTAAACCAATATATTTTAGATAATTATCTGTAAAGTATGAGAGATTAGAAAGAATGCACGATTTAAATGATGGAAGCTTTACCTTACATTTCGCAAACTATGATATATCGATGTCATGCAAAGACACTAAAAATTCATATTATCGTCAATAATTATTTCTGAAAGCATCTTTAGGTATCTTATAAAAACTGGGTTTCTAGTCTAGTTAGGGTCATCAAACCTCTAATGGCATGAACATTACATAAACACAATAGACAATAGCACATATATAAACACGAAGCAACATTACAAGATCGTATGCTAGCTTATTTATGTAAGAAAGCAATTGGCACCGAATCCACTTTATGTACATGAATTAACTGGGCTAATTTGTAAGTATGCAAAATTTGAGGCTGCAAACAAAATTATGGAATAATTCTTTAGGGTGCAAGAGTAAGTATACAAAGTGGCTAGATCTGAAGCTGGATTTTTGATTTAGTATTTTAATGCTCTAATTCGTAAATTATGCTCTCTCGCTCTGATGATATCCGTCACGAGAATGACAGACAAAGGGTTAGCACAGGTCCATCGGGCGACAAGACGGTGAGCCTAAGACCTTTTTGCCTAGTCCAACAGACTTCATTCCACGGCAATCCCCCTGGGATTTCCGATGAGACTATTTCTACGAATTTGTTCTAACAAATTTTCAATTTGAAATGGAAAGTCTTTTCACAATAAGTCATTAGGAAATTCTTTCATGCATCATAAACTGGAAGATGACGTAACACAAACCTGGGCTTCATTGACAATTTTAAAAAATTGCTTGGCTCTCCTTTGCTTTATTCAAAAAATAATTCTCAGTATAGAGATTAAATTTTAAGCAGAAAAGTCAGTCGGTTAGACTAGAATTGTCCATGATTGTTGAGCTTACTTCCATTTCGAGTGAAAGTATTGGGTGAAGAGATTCGAAGGTCGGTTCCACCAGAAGACGACGGCGGATTCCTCTTGACCAGCTTTACTGGAAGATTCATTACGACGCTGTTTCCGATGAAAAGGTGCTAAGCCTTCGTCCGTCATATGACGGACATCATCAGAGCGAGGTTACATCGTCACAACAAAATTCAAGCTAACGAGACCTACAGTGATTTTGTTAGTCCAAGTCATTTTTCACTCTGAAGAAATGAGCCTTTGTTTTCTTGTGTGTGCTCATGTGCCTTCCTGTGCTTGCAATGATACGAAACCACAGTGAGAGCTTAAAGTAATTAGAACAGAACGTGATATCTGGCTCCGGTATAGACACAGAGTATTATAAAAATCTTTGATATAATTTGGTGAGTTTGCTCGATTCATTAGCTTGAATATGGTTGTAAGAATGATAGCTTGCTCTGTGGATGCTCGTCACATGAAGAAAGAAATTTTGGCACGTTATCGTAAGAAACAGAGGTGACTGCCTAAGGGACAACGGTTGCAAGATATGTTAAGTAAAGCTTCCAAGATAAATATGCCACCACCTTAAAGTGAAACTGACCATCAAATCTCTTCATTACATTCACTTTCACTCGAGATGTACGTAAGCTCGTCAATGTATTAACGATAACTCTTCGGGGTTTAAGGTCTCTGTAAAAGCATCAAACTGTGTAGATATGAAGGTCAAAATGGCATGGTATTTCTGGCAAGGAACGAAGGACTAATTACATTGTACATGGTCTCCCTGTCGCTTGACCAAGTTGCAAAATCAAGGCCAAACAAACTCTATAAATTTTTGTATCGGTTGATGTTTTTATTTTGAAGTCCATTCATTAAAGTTATGTTAATTTATTTTCCAGTGATCTTTGCTGAAAAGCAATACTATGCAACTGTTTTGTGATCTGAGCCTTGCCGACTGAGATATATATAGAAACATATTAGGCTTAAACAGTATACAGACTAAGGTTTATCAGAAAAAAACAACTGCCCAAATAAAGCACGCTAAATGATTCCTTCAAAGAAGTTATTATGAACACCATGATTGAAGCGGCAAACTTTTGGAAAGTCATCATAATCTGCCCATTCAAAAGGACCTATCAGAGCAATGCGTTATTTAGATAAAATCAGGCGAAAATATGAAGTTGTATACTCACCTTTGTACAAATACAATTAAAGCCGCCAATTGATGATATATCGCATGCAAAGCTGCTCGCGGCTTGTTGACTGGAAGACTGAGTGTGGCTGAAAGACCTGGCAAAGGTTGGTCGCCTGCGAGGTGCGAGATGCAAGAAAACAGGTGTCCAAGGCTGCGAGAGAACATTTTGGCTGGTACCTTTGCCTCCTCCTTTTCCTCTTCGATTGCTCTGTCCTCCTCAGGCTCTTCAAGCTCGTCACTATTTTCGCCCAGCATAGCTAAAGTGCTACGCTTCTCTTCAAGCTCTCTTTCACTTTTAGGATGTTTATGAGGAAGTATGTTTCCACTTTTCATGATTTTCCCAGTCCGACAAGTAGGGTCTGACAAGGCAGATGTCTTGAGCTTGGCTGCAGCAAGTCGTTGGTACTGCAACATGCCTTCCTTTCCACTCTGAGAGTCAACAAGCGCTGACCAGGAAAGACAACTACGCAAACAACAAAATTAATAGACTAAAATATGTTTTTGGTAATAAACAAAGCATGCTAAACACAAAGGGAATTTATATTGCATTTTTTAAATGCATTACTTAATTTGGGTAATAAGTCACGGTGAAATGGGAAACAATACTATTTTCAGTTAGTTAAGAGAATGAGAGCTTTAACGATTTTTCTGAAACCATTACTCTGTTCGTTATTCGTAAGAAAATTCCTCAATTTGCTGCAATTGGGGCTTTTAAAGAGAGTCTTTGGTATATATCATAAAGGAGTAAACGGCATCACTATCTGGAACTTTGAAGCCTTAAGTAGTATGAAATGAGCGTTGGCATATCTCGATCAATTGAATAACGATTTCAAAGCAGGGAGACAATTTTGACAAAACTTTATTATAGTAGGAAAAATGTAAACTGCCCCAATTAGGATGTACCGCTGTAGTCTTGCGAGTGAATTGACATAACAAAGTTTAACATACATTCTTCGTTTTCGAGACCTACTTCATAGTGGATATCAGTAAGATCAACCGAAAATCAAAAAGACTTTAATGCGATTCATTTTAACTAAATTTTGAACAAAAACTCAAGAAAGCTGCAATAAGTTCTTTAGATCGTAGATATGAATACCAAGATAGTATGGCTTTCTGTTTGGTCGCAGTCTCTCTTAGCTTTATGGTGTTGATTCTACCTGATTTTCGTAACTTGGTTGGAGTCAGGGAGACCTTGTTGGACGTACCTAGTCCTGGGAATCACGAATACTGTGACAGAGAACACAGGACTAGGTAGGTTCCACCAGGTCTCCTTGACTCTCCGACAAAGTTGCGAAAACAAGGTCAAACCAACATAATACTAGTTGAAGGTATGAAGACCAAGATGGGCTGGCCTTTTGTGTGGTCGCAGCCTCCTTTCGTTCTATAGAAGCTGTTTGACCTTGTTTTCGCAACTTGGTCATATTGGTAGTAAGACTTAGAGGAGTACACCTATTCTGGAGTCCATAGTATGTATGATAATCTCCAGAGTCGGATTGTAAACAAGGTGTGTTCTTCTAGGTCTTCTTGCCAATATGACCAAGTTGCAAAAGCAAGGTCAAATAACTACTATACATCGAAAGGAGACTGCGACCAAGATAAAGGCCCCAACATCTTTGTCTTCGTATAAACATAATACTTTCCTTATTTTCTACAAAAACGATTGCATAAAGAATGATCCAATAATAACTTTCTGCTTAAAACCAAGTTTAATTTCTTTGGAGTATGCTCAATTAATGGTTATTCAAAAGGTGGTAAGCCATTAATGAATCACATAAAATACATAATCTCTTATTTACAATCAATAAAATATGGCAAATATTCAGCGGAAATACGTATCGGCACACACACATATCAGTTTAGATATCATCGACAAATCACCCTCTATCGTATGGGATGAAGGATTGATAACATAATCTTTCCAAAATGATATAAGTAAACCTCACGTTTGCATAGAATTTAACTTAGCTTTGCTTCCCCAAAAAATATTTTTATCCAGGCTGGAATAGACAAAAGTTTCGGCCTCACCTGGATCTCTTCAGCATTCATAACGGAAATCGAATCCGGGTAGTTCACCGTTACAATGTTATAACTACTCCAAACCACCACGTATGCTATTCGGTAACAGGGCAGATGCTAATTTTGAGGCCGGTGGCGACATTGCAAAAATAGACTGTGAACTACCTGGTTTCGATATCCGTTAGAGATGAGGATAAAATCCAGGTGAGGTAAAACTGCAATTCAGACAGGATAAGAATATCTTTTGGTAGACAAAACTAAGTGAAATTTCTTGACACCGTGAAGCCTATTTGAAGCCTTTAAGTAATTTAAACTATAATTTCTGGATCTTTGAATGCGACTTAGGATAAAGACATTTCTTGCAGCGCCCCTAAGTTGCTCAAGTATGGTATTAAACCTTAGAATGTGATGGCCTTGTGTGGCATTTAAATAACATTATTATGACGGTTAATAGAGACTTAAAAATGCATTTTTTTAAACAACTAGCTGGATATCATGGCAATGGTCACTCTTTCTAATCTGCTTCGTTTTGGCAACTGAGGAAATTGGTATCTTCATGGAAAAATACAATTTTAATAGTAACCAAAGCTAAGAGTATGAAGATTAGTTGAAAAACGAATGTGTTTTTCGAAAGATGATTTATGCGATTTATTGAGGCTCATCCTGAAAGCTTGACTGCTCGAATTTGTGCACAGCTAGAGACTAAAAGGGGGAATAATAAAGCTTAAGTTTGAGCTTGACACTATAAAAGAAGGTTTCCCCAGCACTCGTTCTTTGATATTATAGCTCTCAGACTCGATAAACCAAAATGTAACCAAGATTGGGGTACTAATGCCAGAGGCTGACTCACCTGCGGAATGTGTTCGGTAGCTTGACAATCCGATAGCCTTCCAAAAAGCCATGCATAGCCAGCCAGCGTTCAGTGATTTCTGCCAATTCATGGTCAGCTTTTAGCCAATCATCTTCAACTGGACTTTGAGGAGCAGAAGTTTGGAATATTTGTTCAATACAATCGGAATCTGTGAAATCCGAAAGCGACGAGGGAGCACATATCGACATAGGATAGGTCGATTCTTTTCGGCCGAGACTTGGTTTTTCACCATTACTATATCTTAAAGGGAAACAATAATTTACTATACTCAGGATCATTATAGAAATTTTACAGGCAGCCAGATACTTTAAACATTAAGGTTCGTCATAACTCTTGAATGTATACATCACACTCCAAAATCACGTCTGAAAAATTAACCTGGAGTTGATGCATTATAGTATAAGCGAATAATAATATATCTCTAAAATAGTAAACGCGGCTTCGTTTATTTTCGATCAACACAAGAATAATTTTTTATGAATGGCAAATGCTTAAAATCAATTCTAAATGAAATGAAATGAAATGAGTATGAATTTATGAAGTTTGAGGACAAAGAATTCTTGACATAAATACATTGAATTTGCTGTTTTATCCAATTTGTAGAATAGTAATCCCGCCCCTTTTTTACATGCGCCTTAATCAATAGGATAGAATCCTTAGCCTGTATGGAACAAATAATGATTCTTAGGTGCAAATGGGCTAGATTTGAGCCCCATCAAACTAGCTATTTATGTCCCATATTGTAACTCATTAAGATTACCTCTTTTACTTAAGTGGATTTTTATCATCAATAACCTTCCCATTACTGGCAACAAATTAAAAGCATAAACATAAAATTCTCGAATAGTGATGTGATAAGAGTAATTAAGAATAAGAGGGTAAAATAAGGATAACTAAGTTCGTGTTCTGTTGTCATCTAACAAGAAAATTAAGTTAGCACAAAAATGGCAAATTTTTTTAAAAACAATATGGTGAAGAATGGTGAAAAATGAACTCACTTCTTTAACTAGATATCACACCAACAAACTTATATGATCTGCCCAAAATTCAGAGAAAATGTACCCTAATTAGATTAGTGTAAGTAATATAGGTAGCATGCAACAAAAAACATGCATGGAGTAAATCTCCGAAGCGTAATAGTTTTCAATAATGAATTTTTACGACTTGGTAGGGTAATAAGATTATTAGCTGATAGAAAGTGTCTATTTTCTTATACATTTCTATCCATATGTCCATACACGCTAGTAATTCGATAACCAGGGGAACACAAGCCTTAGTGTTAGCTTAATATCAACATCCTGAGATCATACAAGATAAAATATTAGGCAACAATTTAATCATATGTTTGATTAAGCTAGTTATGAAGAGTATATATTTCACCTTCAATGGTTAGATTTATAAGCAAGGACTAAAGTTTTCACCACGTTCGTGCTCATGTTCAATTTCAGCTAATAAGAAAATGGCTCAATTAGATGCTTAAGGGGGTCCAGAGGCACTCCTGGTTACAAACATATTAGCTAAGTATATGAACGAAGACCTTCGCTGCCTGGATACTTTGCAAAGATATATTGGAAGAATTCCTGTTGCTAATAAATAAGTCAGACGGGGTGATTAAACTCACTATTGAGTTAAAGAAGAAGGATATGCTAACACTTCTGGATGTCATAGTAAGCAAGGACTATGAAAATCTGGGAAGAGATGTGTATAGAAAACCCACATAACTGGTTTTTTATTAAATCTTTTTTAATCATATATATGTTGTCAAATTAAGGGTCATGAAGTGAATGATAATAAGGAGTCTACGTATAACGAATGTAAATCACTGGACCAGAAAATCGGTAGACTAAGATATATCCATATATTCAGAAAGATTATCCATTAGGAATAATAGATAATTACTTTTTAATACTAAATAAGAGAATGAAAAGAAATAGCTATTAGGGGCAGGATCGGCAGATTTCATTTGGTTCCTGACGTTGTATTCGTGTTAACTTTAGAAAAGAAAGGTGAACTAGTGAGGAAATGAAGCATCAGAATAATGTTTAAAAATAAACTAGCATTTGCCTTAGCCATTCCTTCGTTTAAAGAACGTTATTGCTCTCTTTCTAGATCAGTGCCCTATAATGTTTTCAGCTAATGTACTAATGTATATGTGGCTTAGACCTGGCGACTCGTATGGAAAAGATTATCAGAATAAAATATTACCTGCAAAAGACAATTGGTTAAAAAATATGAACCGGATGAACATACGACTAATACGGGACACGTCAGAGAATTGTCAAAAACAAAGAATTTGCAGACTAGGGGGACCTTACATCCATTCGTAAGATCAGGAAATCTAAAGAAATGAACCCGAAAGGATGGGTTAAATTAAAGGGAGGGATAGGAAGCAAAAAGAATTATTCAGCGAAAGGAGGAAATCTGAATATTCTTATGTCTGGTTAGGACTCTCGCATATCACA